TCTATTCACAATTAGTTTGGCGAAATTATCTATAAACTACAAATAATTAAGAACACATTTGAATATCTAAAAAACAAATAGAGAAGTAGAAGAAACTATAAAGAGTCAGGAGACAGAATACTTCCATCAAGTCCTAAATCTATGTTGCCCGTAAAGTTTTTTGGTCTAAAGAGTAAGGCTGTCACCTAAACGCCTAGCAGTTCGCCTTCAATAATTTTTGTAACAAAGGTTAAACATAAATAGATAAATAATAACATACGACAAGCCTAGAGATCCATCCGTGATATTTTTACAAACACGGGTTCCAACATAGGCAAAAAACACGTACTTCAGTAAATGAACCTATAGACAATACAATTATTAACATGTCTAGAATCATGATAGGACATCCTAATTTATTATGAATTCTGGGTTATCTATTTAGACTATCAGGCCCGCTCACCTGCCCACGGTGGGCAGAGGAATATATTTATTTAGACTATATAGTGGTGAAACAACTAATCATTATAATCATACAATTCGAACATGCAAAATGGAGAAAAATCTTAAGAAGAACTATTTACAAAGAAATTTTGGTATTTTCTCGAGCCTTGGTATTGATCCCAAATTGTTCTTGGTGTCTTCCACGATCTGGTACCAGTGGTCTCGTGTTCGAGCCCTGAGAATGCAGCAGTGTTAAAACTTTTGAGTGAGAGCTTTGCCGCCCTTGTGGTCCTACCTGGCTCGATTCCGAATTAGTCGGTTCCCCTATGGATCCAGAAACTGAAAGGTTCCTGTAAAAAAAAAAAGAGTTTGAAGCAGGGCTGAAAACTTGCCCAAATACATGAACTTCCGAGTAGAATTTTTCTATAAAATAAAATACAAAATAGGCAAAAAAATATTTTAAATACAAAAAATACAAAAAAAAATACAAAAATGGAAAGGTCAGTATAATGAGCCAAAAAATCTATAAAATAAGCTCAAAAGAACTCGAGTAACTATCGTGACAACACAAAAAATAATAACAAAATCATGCAATAGTAAAAATAGAATAATAAATAGGTAATGGGTTATATACAAGCTAACACAAGACAAACTCTATTATTATACAAAAATAGAATAACCCGTAAGTAACCTTGCTAAACCTTACTAAATAAATATTACCATCCCGTTACGGGATGGTTCTGTTATACTTTTTAACTGTAGATATACGTATAATCTGATAATGTATAGATAATCCAACACATACAAAATATAACAGAACCATACCGCAACGGGATAATAGTACTCTCCAACTTTATTATATAGATTTAGAAAAAAAAAAGTGTTAACAATTTTTTCATGCTAAATTGCAATAGCAAAGCTCTCACAACTCACAAGTCGCACCTTTCTCTCTCCTTCTTTGTCCCCCCTCTCTCGATTTCGACACACACACAAATACACACTCAGAGGCACGCAGATCGCGCGCACGCCATAGCCCCTGAAAGACCTTCAGCCCCTTTTCTGCTGTTTCTCCTCAGATTTACAGTCTCCACCGCCAATCAAGAACCGTTTTTTCGCATCTGGGCCTGCTATTCCTCTCGCGTGCGTAAGTTTTCAAATTCAATCATCGTTGTTAATCTTCCCCCTTTTTATGTTGTTACAATTTCTGGGTTTTTCTTCGTCTGTACGTTTTTTAATGCTGGTGCGGTAAGGCCCGCGGCCGATAAAATGGACGTAAACCCCTCGCCCCACCACGCGCCGGCCCCTCGCATGCACCGGATGAATTACGTGAGTTATTGACTGATTGTTTTCTTCAATTGATTCAGGCGCGAATTGGGCAGTACGATGCGCCATCGGAAGGTGAGCGTGAGACGGGAGGCGGTGGCGCCATGCATGACTTGCCCCCTCTGCCGCAAGCTCATCCGCGAGGCCACCGCCATTACCGAGTGCCTCCACACGTGTGGGTGATCCCTCTCTCGATGTCTGGTTTCTGTTTTTTTTTTTCCCCTATTTAGGATTGTGGTTGGGTTGATTGAATTTCAGCTTGCCTTCGTGGTGTTTGTTCTTTTGGCGATCTGGGGTTTGCTTAGAATCTGTGTTTTTCAGTTATGTGCGCGTTGCTTGTGGTGTGGATGATGTGGGCGTGTGGAGTGTGTTTTTGAATTTGTTTTTCTCCCTTCTTTTGTTCAGTTTTTGTTATTATGTTCGTGCGATTTTGGGCTGTGTATTTGTGTGTGCCGGTGCCGGTTTATTGATGTGTTTCTAATTGTGACAGTAATTTCCTGCTTTGTTGATGATATGACTGTTGATCGATCAATGATTGAGAGGTTGTATAGCTATAGTTTGATAAATTAACCTGAAGATCTCTCATTGTGATTGGTAAATTTTTTTGTTTTGGGGGAAAAAGAAGCTTCCTAATATTACATGTTTGTTTTGTACATGCCTCCTCAGGAAAGGGAAGAAGTTTTAATGAACTCCTTTTGCTTTCATCCTACTGAAAACAATTTTATTTCTTATGCTTTTTTTTGTAAGATCTGATGATCATATTTGGGTCAAACAATTCCGAGGAACGTATTTTTCAAAAAGTTTACACGACTGCGAAAATTTCATTATTTGGTGATGAAGTCTTAATCATCTGGTTATGTGATAGTCAAGTGTAAAGATTGTGTAAAAGCTTAGGCTACTTGAAAGGAAAGGATGCATGTATTGTATCCTCAATAACTTGAAATTTGTCTCACAACATTAGAAACAATTTAGTGTTGTTCTTGAAAGCTTTTTTTTATGGTTTGATATGCATGCAAAGGAGTTTTTATGTGATTGTAAATTTGTAAGCCTTTTTTGTTTCTTCGCGTGAAAATGTAACATAGAGATGACAACTTATGACCTTCACTACTTCAGAAAATTCTATACATGAGAAATCTTTTTTTT